TTCGTAGAAACCCTCTAACCGTTTATGTCCAGTACACAGGAGTTCGTAGAAACCCTCTAACGTACCATGTTCACGTCCAGTACACAGGAGTTAGTAGAAACCCTCTAACCGTTTACGTCCAGTACACAGGAGTTCGTAGAAACCCTCTAACCGTTTATGTCCATCCAGTACACAGGAGTTCACTACTGTTGATTTTTAACAGTACAGGTGTATATATCACGTCACGTGGTTGTAGCTACAGTGATTGTAACACGGTTTACAGATGTAGGATGTACGATAGGTCATAGCTTCTCTTCGGATGTATATTTTTCTGGTGTAATTTTTTATTTTTTCTCTATTCTACGTTCAGTTTGTATTACATATATTATATACGGGTGTAAGAAAGGTCAAAACTATCAAACCCAAATAAATCTGTTTTAGCTTATACAAGTTATAAAGTTGTTATAACTTATTTTATACACACACACACACAGATATATATATATATATATAAATACACACAGATATATATATTTATATATATATAGTATGGAGATTAAAAATTAATACTGTGCCTTTCATTTAAAACTAATTTGAGAAATTACAGACATGAATTTTACGCTGGAAAGTTTTTTTTTGTTTTTTTAACACCAAAACCAAAACAAAATCTTACACGTGTTATACATCATTGACAAATGCGGTCATCTTAAAGTACACGATATAACCGGTTTTCTTTTGTTTTATTTGGTGTTCAGTTGCTAAACAATTCGTCATTTATTTCGCTTGCTTACTCTCCAAGTGAATTCTCTACAATGGTTCACAATAATGCCATCTCCTCTGCTTTATTACACTTTCTTTTCGTGCATATTAGTGTTAAACCTTTCAAGACGACAGAACTTTTCACTCCAAAGCTTCCAGCAAATCCAGGACTTCCAGAAAATAGCTTGAAATTCCAGGACATATATCAAAATAGTTTGAAATTCCAGGACATCCAGCAAGATATCTTTCAACTCCAGAACTTCCCGAAAGAGCTCTCATCTCCAGGACTTCTCGGGAAAGCTTTCAACTCGAAAAATTTCGGAAGAGCTATAAATTCCACGACTTTCCAGGGAGCTATTAACTCAGAGAATACTGAGAGAGCTTTTGACTCCAGGACATTCTGGGAGAGCTATCAATTCCACGACTTTCCAGGGAGCTATTAACTCAGAGAATACTGAGAGAGCTTTTGACTCCAGGACATTCTGGAAGAGCTATCAATTCCACGACTTCCCAAAGAGCTGTTAACTCAGAGAATACTGAGAGAGCTTTTGACTCTAGGGCATTCTG